GGACAAAGAGACTTCCCGTGCTAGCATTTCAGGCGAGGCCTTATCGACGAGAGGTAGAAGCTCATATCCGAAAGGTGGTAATAGAGGGAGGTCAAAGTCAAGAAACCACCACCAATTAGCAAAGAACCAATGTGCATTCTGCAAGGAGCAGGGACATTGGAAGAGAGACTGTCCGAAGCTCAAGGAGAAGGAGAATGACAAGAAAAAGAGCCCGAAGGCTAATGAGGTGAACGTTGCGAAAGGCGATGATTCCGATGATTCATGCTTTTCTCTATTGATTACTCCGGAGGTGAACCATATGGATGCATCAGATTGGATACTTGATTCCGGCACTACTTATCATGTGACCCCTAGGCGAGACTGGTTTGCATCTTTTGAGAAAGTCGACGGGGGCGTTGTTGTCATGGGAAATGATCAATCCTGTAGCGTTTGTGGGATAGGTACTGTGCGGATTAGGATGCATGATGGAGTAGTCCGTGAGTTAAAGGAGGTGAGATTTGTTCCTCAACTGAAGAAAAATCTTATCTCAGTTGGAGCTTTGGAGGCGAAGGGATTCAAGGTGACTTTCGAAAACGCTGTAGCGAATGTTACTAAGGGATCATTGGTGGTGATGAAGTCCGCAATTGAAATTTGTATTATCTGAAAGGAAGTACCGAGATTGGCCAGGTTGCTTCGGCTATTTCAGAAGCGGACATGAGCAGACTTTGGCACTATAGGTTGGGGCACATAGGTGAAAAGTTATTGTAGGCACTGTGCAAGCAGGGGCTATTGAAGGGAGCCAAGAGTGGAAAGATTGAGTTCTGTGAGCACTATGTTCTTAGCAAGAAGACGAATGTGAAGTTCAGGACTGTCATTCATCAGACGAGGGGCATCCTGGACTACGTGCACACAGATGTTTGGGGTCCCACCAAGACTGCATTACTTGGTGGTCGACATTGGTTCGCCACGTTTGTTGATGACTATTCTAGACGTTGTTGGGTGTACACCATGAAGCATAAGAATAAAATCCTAGATTTGTTTGTGGAGTGGAAGAAGAGATTGGAACTGCAGATTGGGAGAAAGATCAAGACGTTGCGATCCGACAACGATGGTGAATATACTTCAGACCCCTTTCTGTAGCTATGTCGAGACGAGGGCATAGAGAGGCACTTCACGGTTAGTCATACATCGCAGAAAAATGGGGTGGCAGAGAGATTGAATCGGTCTTTACTGGAGAAGATTCGATGCTTATTGTCGCGGAGTGATTTGGAGAAGATCTTTTGGGCTGAGGCACTTACATATGCGAGCCACCTCATTAATAGGCTGCCTTCATCTGCGATTGAGGGGAAAACCCCTATGGAGAAGTGGTCGGGAGAGCCAGCACGAGATTATGACCAGCTCAAGGTATTCGGGTGCCCTGCATTTTATCATGTGAGAACTGATAAGTTGGAACCTCGAGCTAGGAAGGCCATATTTATAGGATTCAAGCGTGGTGTCAAGGGATACAAGCTTTGGGATCCAGTTGATAAGAAGATTGTGCTGAGTAGGGACGTCACGTTTGATGAGGTTTCTATCTTGAAGCTTCCCAGCTCTCATCAGGTGGAGAGCGACCCGACGAAGGAGATATCGCAGGTGATGGAGATCGATGCAGCTCCACATTCTCCAGATGGTACAGTATCCATTAGAGTGCCGACTGAGGTGACGGCAGGCGAGCACGACGGTGACACGGAGGATACGGGTACTAATATGCAGGATCAGAGACCGACGGCTCAGGTTCAGGATTCGATTGCGGTTCGGAGACAGAGGAGAAACATACATATGCCAGCACGGTATGCCGACACAGTTGCGTATGCACTTCCGGTGGAGAGTATCAATTAGTTGGTGCCTACTACATTCAGAGAGGCCAAGTAGAGTTCGGAGGCTGATTCGTGGCAGGTGGCTATGCAGGAGGAGATGGAATCTCTTCATAAGAACGATATATGGGAGCTTGTTGAGCTTCCAAAGGGGCGGAAGACAATTGGTTGTAAGTGGGTATACACGAAGAAAGAGAGCATTAAGGGCACTCCATTAAGGTTCAAAGCTAGGTTGGTTGCGAAGGGCTATGCACAGGAGGAAGGTATTGACTATAATGAGGTTTTCTCTCCGGTGGTGAAGCATTATTCGATTCGGATTTTGCTAGATTTGGTGGCACAGTATGGTTTGGAGTTAGATCAGTTGGATATGAAGATGATATTTCTTCATGGTGATCTTGATGAAGAAATATATATGATTCAGCCATTAGGATTCCGAGCTGCATCGAAGGATAAATTGGTTTGCAGATTAAAGAAATCGCTATATGGTTTGAAGCAGTCTCCTCGACAGTGGTATAGGCGATTTGATGGTTTTATGCTTGGTCATTCGTACATTCGGAGCTAGTTTGATCCTTACGTATATTTTCGCAAGTTGAAAGGAGGTGCGTACATCTATTTGTTGCTCTATGTCGATGATATGTTGGTTGCCTCTATTTCCAGGTCGGCTATAGATGAGTTGAAAGTTCAACTTTCAAATGAGTTTGAGATGAAGGACTTGGGTGAGGCCAAACGCATTTTGGGAATGGAGATCGGCAGAGACAAGAAGAAGGATAGAATTTATTTGACACAAGTGGCTTATTTGAAGAAGGTTATACAGCGATTTCATGTTAGCATGGATACGAAGCCAGTTGGTGTACTTTTGGGAGCCCATTTGAAGCTTTCAGCTAGTCTTTCACCAAAGTCAGTTGAAGATCGAGAGTTGATGTCGAAGACTTCATATGCGAGCGCGGTTGGGAGCTTGATGTATGCAATGGTATGTACGAGGCCAGATTTATCACAGGCGGTGAGCATGATTTCGAGATACATACACGATCCAGGAATGAGTCATTGGGACGCTGTGAGATGGATTTTGAGGTACATTCGAGGTACGCTCAATGTTGGTTTGGTTTATGAGCGGGACACTACAGGTGGGCGGTTATGCATCGGTTATGTTGATTCGGATTATGCCGGGGGTTTGGATAAGCGCCGGTCTACTACGCGGTATGTGTTTACTTTGACCCGTGCGCCGGTGTGTTGGAGATGCACATTACAGTCGACGGTGGCTTTGTCTACGACGGAGGCAGAGTATATGGCAGTTACGGAGGCTGTGAATGAGGCTATTTGGCTTCGAGGACTTTTGGAGGAATTTGGTATATCGCAGAGGTCCGTCACTATTCATTGTGATAGCATGAGTACTATCTATTTGGCGAAAAATCAGGTTTTTCATACGCGGACGAAGCACATTGACGTTCGTTATCACTTCGTTCGGAATGTTCTTGAAGATGGTGATGTGGAAATTGTGAAAGTCCACACGAAGGATTATCCGACATATATGCTCACTAAGGTGGTTCCGAGCAACAAGTTTGATCATTGTCGAAACTTATTGCATATTCGTAATTGTTGAGGCCGTTGGCGGCCATTTGGATGAACTACGGGAGGCTTGATTCCTTGGGCAAGAGGATATGTAGGCAGTCTTTATGATGCAACCGGCTTTGGATTAGTTGATTCTGATAGGGGTGAGATTGTTTGGACTCTCATTCGGGTTCTTGACGTGTTATGGATTGAGTTCGTACTGGACACAACAAGTTGGGACATTTGGTTGCTTTGGTGTCGGCTCAGTTTTGAAAGAAACTTCACCGAGGTGGAGAATTGTGAACCAGACCTGATAAGGCCCAGGCCCACGAAGAACACATGCAGCCGATTTTGAGTCGTTTTCAACACATGCACGCGTTTTCTCTCTGCTGCCTATATAAACGATATTTTATTAGGTTTTTGAGTGCGGAGGAGATTTGGCTGCGGAAGCTTTGCTTTGTTTTTTTTTTCTCTTTTTGCGGCTGCAGGTGAAAAAAAAGACAGAGGAAAAGTTAGGTTTTTTGCATCCTTTTGTTGAGAGATATTGTGAGGGATTTGAGAGTTTGTTTGAGGGTTTAGGTTATGAGTGATTGTAAACCCTAGTTGTAATCTCTCCCTCTAATAATAGATCTCCCCCCTCCTTGCCCCGAGGACGTAGGCAATTTGCCGAACCACGTAAAATTGGTTGTATCTCTTTTGTGTGATTTGTAATAGCTTTTTAGGATCCCTCGACAGGTCAGTCCTAAAAGTGATGAGAGGAAGAGCCGATATCTCACTTTGTTGAGATATTCGCTTCAGATTCCTGTTTCCTTGGTGAGACGAGAATTCTTATTGCGATCTGACTCTCTTGTTGTGCTGCCGAAGTGCTGTCGAAATTTTCGCTGCGCGCAACAAAGATTAATTAATTATATCTAAATCATAACAGTTATCGAATTTACTCTTTTATGTAATCATCTAGTAGAATCTCAATTTGGTTTCTGTCTCATAAATGAAACTTGTGGATTGACTTTGATTAAAATTCATCTTGTGAGATCTCGTCTCTTTATTTCATAAGGCCATCTTCTTAGATAGCTTCTCATTTGATTTCATGAGCATTCTACAGTCACATAACACTCCTGAAGTGCTTTACTTTTGAACCAACATGTCCTGAATTTGACAATAACCTCCTTATTATGACCATAATAGTTGGTTCAATTAAAGGTATTGCTTGACCTAAACCTTTTAGACTATTGTACCCCGATGATTTTTTCCGCCTTTTCACTTTGGAAATTATTCATTTCCAGTCTTGTTGAGTATGATATGATCAGTATAACAAAAAATGTATTAGTGGAGTTTCAATAAACGCCAGAAAGAATTTGTGGCTTATCAATTACATTTCGAATTGTAATCGCATAGCAATCATCAGATAACAAAAAATATGTAGTACTTCTTAACCAAGTACTAAATTTTGCAACTTTTGACACAATACACACATTAATGGGCCTTGGAGGGCTTGACCAGTTGTAAGACCTATTGGGCCCATCTGAAGAACCCAATGGACCAACGAAGGTCGGTTTCGGATCTGTTTAATCCCCTCCGACCCGAATCCAACCGAAACCCTCCTCTCTACCCCTCTCTAATACCGAAAACCCTAATCTCACTCCCCAAAAGAGGGCAAAACCCATCGGGAGCTCAAAAGCCTCCAGCAATGGAGACCACAGTCTCCTACCAACGATTCCCCAAGGTGCGGATCCGAGAAATGAAGGACGAATACTGCAAGTTCGAGCTCCGAGAGACCGACGCGAGCATGGCCAACGCCCTCCGCCGCGTGATGATCGCCGAGGTCCCCACCGTCGCCATCGACCTCGTCGAGATCGAGGTCAACTCCTCCGTCCTCAACGACGAGTTCATCGCCCACCGCCTCGGCCTCATCCCGCTGACGTCCGACAACGCGATGCGCATGCGGTTCTCACGTGACTGCGATTCTTGCGACGGCGACGGCCAGTGCGAGTTCTGCTCGGTTGAGTTTCATCTTAATGTTTGTTGTGACTCCGATCAGACGCTGGATGTGACGAGTGCGGATCTTAGGAGTGCGGAGGCGAGTGTGATTCCGGTGGATCTTGCGGTGAAAGCGCTGGCGATGGAGTCGAGCTCGACGAGCTATGAGGCTGCTGAGCAGAGGTAACCCTAAACGTAACCCTATATTTGTGTATTTTGGGGGGAAATGGAATAATTTTGTTTTTCTTTGTTGTTTTGAGATGTTTTCTTAAATCATAAGCCCTAACCCTAAAAAAATGTGCACTCTAGGGCTTGTATTTCGTCTAAGGCTAGATTTGATAATATCTCGGGGAAATTTGGAGACTTTTTTACTCGAAGGTTGGAGAGGGTTTATGAAGGTTAGGCTTCTTGAATGCGGTTTTTCTGTTCATTACAGGGACATTGGCTATTTAAGTTTCAAAATTTATTTTTTATGGTCAAAAATTCATTTATCTCAGCTATTCGACAAGAAAAAGAGAAAAACTGCGGATCCGTTGAATTTCAAGTATTCAGTTTCACGAATCGAGATTGGCTGGGTCAGCTGTATACTATCTAGGTAGAAGATCTCCAATCATTAGCTCGGTTTCCGCAAAGAAAATCACTAGCTCTTTGTCAGCTAGAGCAAAAGCTGTTACAGAAGAAACTGCTATTGGTGGACTCCTGCTTGGCTAGACTGCCTCCCAGTGGGAGGCCTGCTATGCCAAAAGCGAGAGAAACCCCATCCCTCTCTTTCCTTTTTGCGCCCCATGTCCCTCCCGTGTGGCGACATGGGGACGTAAAAAGTGCGATCGGCTGATTCAACACGAGCAATTAAAGCTACCGACTCTAGAACAGCGGAAACAGGGCTAATACCGATTCCTGGACCTGGTCAATTAGTCTAGCCTACCTTACGAGTCAGATTTTTTCCGGAATTCTTGACTTCTCAAGTAAAATGCAGATTCCAAAATAGTTAGAACTATTTGAACACGACGTTTTGAGGAATTGTTCCTTGAATGTGATCGTGTGTGATTAGATTTACTTGCACCATTGCGTAAACTGTAGCTTGTATCACAATGTGTGGCTGTAGTGTCTTTTATGAAGGTTAGACCTTTCATGAATTTGTTAGCTATTTGTAGGGTTTTTTTGGGCTCACTTCTGAATGTGATTGATCCTAAAGGACCTAAACCCTAGCCTAAACATTATCGTCAAGTGATCGGCATCCTGCAAAAGGCGTATGAAATGTGACACTTTCCTAAAGAAATCTTGTAAAACGAGGGCAAGACCTAATGGCGTTTAACATTCTAGCATACCCATCATTTAAACCCTAGATGGTTAGTATTCAGATCAAAAAATTGAAACTGTCATGCATATCAGTGTTCCATCGTATTCCCAAAATCTTTGAAGAAGATACACCATAAATTACTAGATTCTATGCGCTTCAAAAGATCCAAATGCTAGTGACAGGAGATAAAAATTGTCAATCTAGCAAGTATAAACTTCAAAGAAAACTTCTGCCAATTATTGGCAAAAAGATATTTCTGGGACATTAGTTAGTTTTTATAATGATTTAGAGGGTCATTATTTGCTCATCGAGCAAGTATAAGCTTCTAACAAAGAGGCTGTGGTTTTCACTTCATGGATTTGAGTCCACTTAAATATCATCTTTGTGTCCTTGGATGATTATTTTTTCTGCACATGTTAGTCCCCAGTCCAGAATCCTAAATATGTTTTGTGGATATGTTCTACTGCATAACGGTTGCAAACCGAGTTACGTAGAAACAATTTATATCTGACCTCTATAAAATCAAGTTTCATATGCAACGTAGAGTATAAGACATTGTTTCCCATTGTCACCATTTTCTGTGACTCCTCAAAAATTATTCTGCTATTATTTGATTTACTGATAGACGATAATCTGCTCATGTGGAATTAGGATTATTTATGAAGTGCATTGTGTATCGTATTTCAATGCAATAGCTGGACATGATCACTTTCGCATCACTTGGACTATAAAGACTTGTTTCAATTGTCATCCTTCATCTGTGACCCCTCATAAATTATCTTGCTATTATTGTTATCTGCTAATAGATGAATTTCTGCACTTGTGATACCAGCGAACACTCTGTACTTGCAAAGGAGTAAATTTCCCATGTCACTAGATATTTGAATGCTTGTGTGATCTTAATTCAGACTTCGGCATTTTCAGTTGCAATTCCCTCTATATCAATGTAAGAAGGAAAAAAGGAAAATAGATGGAGGTACATGGATACAGTTCCCTCTGCTAGTGTACTAAAAGAGCAACAAATTCAAGTATTTGTCCAGGTGCACTAATGTGGTGATATTTCATTACTGATGTTACAGACACTCCTACTGAAACTTCTGCTGCGGAACCATATCCACGTCAAACATCTAGAAACATGGCACTACTTCGGACTCAATACATCTTGTTCTAATATTGCCCTTTTCTGTATGCCTTTCCAGAATTTGTGCAAGTTATCTGATATCTTCTCGTGTCCATATTTTGTCCTTGTATCTGTTTCTTACCTCACCATTTATTCTGTCAGTTTTGGGTGTTAAGTCACAAACATAAGGATGGTCCACTATAAAGCTGTCTAGTTTACATGCAAATGGCCCTTTAACAAAAACAACTGCAAGTCTGCAACTATTTCATGGAACTAGAAATGTAATGAGGTGATGGTGGTGTATTGTAAAGAGTTGAGTCGTCATTAGAAAATTTAGAAATGTACTACTATGATATACATTGTAATGGAGAGCTGGTTGCAGAGTCACAGGATCCTGTCTCAAAGTTTGCATTATGGATCAATATGGGTTATGTAAGTGCTGCTACCTTCATGATGGATCAACTGTTAGCCCCTTATGTTCTATTGTTTTAGAAAACTGGCATCACCTTCACTGCAAAGTTAGTCCAAGTGTCCAACAAATGTCAGTGAACATATCTCGTTAAAAGTGTATGCCTTAACTAGAAAGTATGTTTTCTTTATGTTTTAATTATGGTAAGACATTGTCATAGTCAATTGTTTTCAATTCATTGTAACTAACTTCACCTGTATGATCACATTTCATTTTATATGGAGATTTCTCGAGGTGATTCAACTTTTCATTCAACATGTTTGCGACAGGGGAATAATAATCGTAAAGTTGCGTCGTGGGCAAGAATTGAGATTAAGAGCTATAGCAAGGAAAGGAATAGGCAAGGACCATGCCAAATGGTCTCCTGCTGCAACTGTAACTTTTATGTATGAGCCTGACATTCATATTAATGAGGACTTGATGGAAACCTTATCGCTTGATGAGAAAAGGGCCTGGATTGAAAGCAGTCCTACCAAAGTTTTCGACCTTGATCCAAATACAGGACAGGTAAGTTTTCCCCTATCAACCCCTTATTTATTGAATTTGGTCTAATATGTCTGTGTAGCTTGATTTACCGATTCCTCTTGTCAACATTTTTCTAAGTAAAAATTCATGTCAAAGAGCTTCTTCTGCATATGTAACATCATTGTATGCCTTATGCTCTTGACAATTATTCTGGAGATACAATAGTTTGAAAATATTAGTATGCATAAAGAGTTTTGTGGCCACTTGTGTAGCATGAAACTTTTTGTCATCCACATTGTTATAAATAGCGGTAAATAGCCCCGCAATAGCGGCGCTAATAGCGTTAGCGGTCCCTTCCTGCGATGCTATCATCCGTTACGCTATCGCGCAATAGCGGTGACATATTACGGAATATGTCTGTTCGCAAAAATGATCAATAGTGTGTCATAATGGTAAATAGTGAGTGATTGCATTCGAAATTTGCTTTTTGACTGCTATTTAAAAGCGGTTTGAGGCTTATTTTTTAAAAATTAAACTCAACCCTTGACCATTGCATTCCACCGTCTCTTGTGATTTTCAGCATACTCTCGTCACCTCTCATAGCCTCTGGCACCTACATTGATACTTCCTCTCACCTCCTTCACCGTGAGCTCCTCTTAGGATAGTCCTGTCACCGCTAAGCTTTTCTTCTCGAAGACGACGACTTTTTGACTCCTCCAGTCAGCTTTGGTATTACGTGATGGTTACATGTCTATTTCATGTTTATGATCTCTTTAAATCATCCAATATGTACTTTTAGATTTCTTAGATTTTTTTTAATTTTTTTTAGTATTTATATATATCTAAATTAGACCGCTATTTAACTTTACGCTTTTTACCGTTATTTTGCCGCAATAGCCCGAAATAGCTTTAGCGATACCTCACCGCTACGCGACGCTATCCGCCATCGATAACCTTGGTCATCCATATGTTGTAGGACACAAGTAAGTTATCAATGCTTATTGGCACTTCTTCGATATGCGTTCGAATGCTGTCTAACTGGTCCTAGATTTTACAGTGTGTTTATGTTTGTGGGTATAAAGAATTATAAAACAACTACTTAATAAGACATTTTGCTAAATGACCTACCCTATTGGTTAAATTTGATCAGCGGGCTTGCTATGTGTATCTTTTTGCAGCTCTTTTTGGTAGATAAGTTGCAATTTCATAGCTTACATTTTGGAAGCAAAGTAGGAGAATATAGGAGGTATTTTATTTTTATCCCCAAAAAAGAAGTATTATACTTTCTTCCCTGCAAGTAGATGTTTCTGCAAATATTGACTTGCAGAAAAGTAGTAACTGGATAATAGAAGAAAGAGGTGAAAAAGAACTCAAAATTTTCAGCAATTCTGATAATAAACTCACTCAAAGTTACAATTTTTTTCTGGTACAACTGATTATTTAGATACTACAGTCTTTTTTTTGGATAAAGGTGCAAGGAAAGTGATGTTTGCTTCAGCCTTGTTCTGCTGGAAAACGAAGTTAATAATATAGCAGCATATTGCTCTTGTAGCAGCATAAGGCGGAGTAAAGAAACTTTGGATGGTATATGTGGATTATAGATAATGGTGAAATGATAATCAAATAGGAAAGAGAGTTAGAACGTTATATGCAGATGATAGAGAAATAATGGTGAAGTCATAATCAGATGGAACATCTGACTGCCTACATGGATGCAAAAGTATGGTTGCTATCTTACAGAGGCGGTCAATTGTAGCCATCTGTGGTGTTTTCTCCTTGTTTACATAAAATTTATTGGTGACCGACTAGCTGGTAGTCCAGCAGGATTGTGACATTAATTGTGTATTAATTTTTGGAGCTTATGGACCACCATTGACCTCACAGTTTCTAGGTATACACCTTTGCACAATTCCAGGTTTATAGGCCATTCAATCTATTGGTGCTGCGTGCATTTTCTAATGCCAATCTATAGTGATAGCAACCTCATTATGAATATAAGCAGAAATTCTACCTGACAATTCCAGCCATTTTGGAAGAGAATTGAGAAACTCTTCATTGAGATCTGAAAACTGATATTGATTTGGTTTATTGCCCATAAGTTTCTGTTTTGGCAGTCTAAATCTGTCCTTTTAGGTTTTGATCTGATAATTGACATAGTAGAGCAAAGTCGCCCAATTAATATTGATGTATAATTGAATGAAACCTAATGAGTATAACATAGTTGATTCCCTTTCCTTTCCCTTGCTCCTACACTACTACTAATTTGTGAGTCCTAAGATCATATCTGTCTGCCTACTTTGCAGTCGCACAGTGCCATTTGTTTGTGCATGCACCATTTTAATGTTTGTTTGTTTGTTTTGCATTCCTCGATCCCTTATGAAGTGTAAAGACAAAGCTGAGGTATAATGGTTTTCTCTAGATTTTTTTAAGGGGCTGTTTGGTTTGTTTCCTAGATATAGGGAAATGCATTTCCATGTATAAAAACACAAATTTTGAGTTTTCTAAACTTTTCCAAGAAATAGATTGTTTCGTTTTGGTTCGTACAAAAAAATAGTGGAAAACCAATGTATTTATTTTTCTTGTGTTTGGTGCGCATGGAAAAAAGGGAAAACTTTTGTTTATATGGAAAAAAGCTGACGTGGCTGTAGTTTTCGTAGATTTCACGAGGTTGAGGAAGGAATTGGGGGAGAGAAAAAATCTGATGTGGCGGCGATTTTCACCGAGTTTCCCTTCTTCAACTCTAGCGAACCAAAGATAAGAAAAAAAACCGACGGAAAGCTTATATCCTACGTGGCCACGAAAAAACTGATGTGGAGGCGGTGTAAAACTTTTCCACCGAGTTAAAAAACGAACCAAACAGCCCCTAAGGGGAAAATGCTTCCAGCCACCAAACCAAAAAAAAAAAAAAAAGTGCTCCCCCTCTATAAGACTTTTTCAACGGGTGTTTTGCCCCTAAAAATAATTTTTTTGTTCTCTGAGCTCCCAAAACACAAAATCCAAGAGATTAAAATATGTGAAGACCATAATACCCTTCTCTCTCTATCATGATGTTACTGTGATGATAGTTGAAATAATTGATGGGGATTATTATTTTATTATTTTCGTTGTTGATGAGGGGAACTAAGTGTTTTTGTTTGTATTAGGAGATTATTAAGGTTACAGGTTAATTGTTAAAGTTACGGGTTACTTGTTAAGGTTACGGGTCAGTTGTTAAGGTTATGAGTCGGTTGTTAAGGTTACGAGTCGGTTGTGAAGGTTACACGTTAGGATATATATGTATATATAGTTTGAGTGACATGAATACTTTGGGTCACTTAGCCTAGTGGTAAAGTTTGGGAGGTTGGACAAGAGGTTAGGGGTTCAAACCCCTACAACAACAATATATATTTAAGGGTCTTTGATTGGGCTCTTTGTATTCTAAAAATATTTTTAGAATATTCATTGTTAAGGATAATGGTTGGTTGTGAAGGTTATGCATTAGTTGTGAAGGTTACGGGTTGGTTGTTAAGGTTATGGATTTGTTGTTAAGGTTACGGGTTGGTTGTGAATGTTACGGGTTGGTTTTGTAGGTTAACTTCACAACCAAAGCGTAACCTTCACAACCAACACATATCCTTAACAATCAACCCGTAACCTTCACAACCAACCCGTAACCGTAACCTTCACAACCAACACATATCCTTAACAATCAACCCGTAACCTTCACAACCAACCCGTAACCTTAACAACAAACCCATAATCTTAACAACCAACCTGTAACATTCACAACCAATGCATAACCTTCACAACCAACAATTATCCTTAACAACGAATATTCTAAAAATATTTTTAGAATACAAAGAGCTCAATCAAAGACCCTTAAATATATATTGTTGTTGTATGAGTTTGAACCCCTAACCTCTTGTCCAACACAGTGTTTTCAAATGCGCGCGCCTCATTGCGCCTCATGCACCTTACGATGCTGGGCGGTGGCGATGCGCCCCACATCTGATGCAACAGCGTCTTTTGTGCCTCGCGTACATCCGTACTTTGTGTAGGATGCATGTAGTGCATTTCCTCATATAGTTTTTTTTGTTAACATTTCAATCGAGTCTTTATACTTGATATTCCATATCCCAAAAAACAAAATAAATCCATTGGGCTTTTTTAATAACCTTCAATTGACGACCATTACTAATCCTTAGTTTGGATATAAGTCTTGATTTAACATTTGATTTGAAAATTTATGAAATTTGCTACTATGTTGGGTGTTAGCATTAGAAATTAAGGCAATATATTGTGATTTTGTAGCAAGATATTATTTATCATGATATTTTTTATGTAAATTCTAAAAATATGTTCTTTCGCGCTTGATTACATATATTGAAATATTATGTGTGTGGTGTGCGCCTCGCATCACTCGGGCGCGCGCATCGCGTTACACCTTGCGCATGTGCGCGTAAAGATGCTTTGCGCCTCGCATTGCGCCTCGCGCATTAAAAACACTGGTCCAACATCCCAAACTTTACCATTAGGCCAAATGACCCAAAGTATTCATGTCACTCAAAATATATATACATATATATCCCAACGTGTAACCTTCACAACCAACCCGTAACCTTAACAACCAATCCATAACTTTAACAACTAACCTGTAACATTAACAACCGATCCATAGCCTTAACAACTGACCCGTAACCTTAACAATTAACCCGTAACCTTAACATTCTCCCAATACAAACAAAAACACCATCAACAACGAAAATAATAAAATAATAATCCCCATCAATCATTTCAACTATCATCACAGTGACATCATGATAAAGAGAGAGAGAGAAGGGTATTATGATCTTCACATATTTTAATCTCTTGGGTTTTGTGTTTTGGGGGCTTAGAGAATAAAAAATTTATTTTGGGGGGGCAAAACACCCGTTGAAAAAGTCTTGGGGGGAGCACGTTTTTTATTATTTTGGGGGCTGGAAGCATTTTTTTGTAATGCCTTTAACAGGAACCAATTATTGTCAAGTACCGGTGCTTCCATTCAGTTTGGATCAATCTCTTTCAAGAATAATTTAATATGGCATTATGGGCGGTTTAAACTTGACACCACTCTTTATTTCCTTTACAGTTAACAATAAAAAATGCTGTGAAATTTACTTCAAGGTAGGAGTTTCTCTTTGCCTTGATTATTGGAGAAAGATATCTTTTTTTTTTAATTTTGCCAAGTCTGCTTCTCATAGATATAGAGAAGTGTTTGGTTTTACTGACAGTCTTTGACAGCTGACATTAGTAAAAAGGATGACTAATTTGGGGATGCTACATTAACTTCATTAGTATCGGTGGATCTTGAGGGCGCTAGAATCACAATCGTCCTGTGTTCATTATCTGCAACCTTTTCCATGAAGGAAGCAATTAATTTTCTCCATTTCTTTGAATTGCAAACAGTCACAGATTTTTAACAAGACTAGGGCAATACATCATTTGATGGATTGGATGAGATTAACAAAATCTCTGGACTTTGGACATATTGGGTTGTCAAGGTCTGTTCAGGACAAAGAAGGTTTGTGGAAAATGGGAATCATGAGACCTTAAACAGTAAGAGGTTTGTTGTGGTGGAAGAATATCAGTTAACTGAATTAGTTTATAATTTTGTTCGTTGATAAAATCAATTGTCGCAATGTTGTACGTATAACTTCTGAAAAAGGGGTTCTTAATTTCGCTCGCCAACTTGATAATGAGCCAAACCGGCATGATAATTTAAGGTTTATCTTTGAGAGATTCCCTATGTAGTGTACTATATAGTAGCAGTCTCTAGCCGCTTCTGCAGAGCCTAAAAGTATCTCCTTGTGGAGGGCAGAATGCTTCGGTAAGTTGCATCAATCAAAAAATCAATGGCTTGCATGAATGACTCTGTTTCTAAATGGCTGGTAAATATAGAAAATATGTACTCTCTTTTCTGTTAGTTCTCTGTTAACTACAATTGGACTTCAAGAACAAGACAATGGAGTTTTATGAGGGGGTGAAGACGATTGGAAACTAGTTAAGTACTGGATAAGTGGTATGGCCTCAAGGTCACGTGTTTAAGTAAGATATGTTAACTTATATACCAGATTGCTTAGATAAGGTTATTGGTCTGGGGAAGTGTTTAACATGCTTCAAGTCCTTGTTGTCGATGTAGTCACCCGTGTTGTATGAATCTGAGGTTCTATCTATCTTAGTAAGCGTGATAGATAGGTAATAGAAAAATCCCTGCATCTCTGAATTTCCCCAACAATTTTCTTCTCATTTTGTCTTGTTCCATGTGTCAAGAAGCTTGTGTTCTATGTATCGATTGCACAAATATTATCATATTAACTCATTGCTTTGTGGATCCATTTGGTATCATTGGTTTACTAAATGAATGCATTTGTCCTTCAGGTGGTGGTGGTTGACCCTGAAGCATACACTTACGATGATGAGGTGATCAAGAAAGCAGAGGCAATGGGGAAACCTGGGCTAGTTGAGATTAACGCGAAGGAAGACAGTTTCATCTTCACCGTGGAATCGACTGGTGCCATCAAGGCTTCCCAGTTGGTGCTCAATGCAATTGATGTTCTGAGGCAGAAGCTGGATGCTGTTCGTCTTCAGGATGCTGAAGAGAACGACTTCAGTGAACTGAAGGCGCATCTTGGGTAGTCCAAGTAACGGTGGTTGTACTGATCTAATTATGTGCATTCTCTTATGCCAGAACTAATACTTAAAACTATAGGCTTGAAACCTTAAGCCATCCTTGGCGAACTTCTTTATCTGCGATATTCTGGATGCCTACTATGCTTTCTATGTTCGATATCTGCAGCGAATTCCTCATCTTCTGCTGGTTTATTGCTCTCTTTTCGTCCTAACCAATTACATGCCCCCGAGTTCATCTTTGAATGCGCTGGAAGCATCAATTTGAGTAGTGCATTGCCTTTGAACCTGTTGTTCTCGACTCTATTTGGTACACCTGTATATTCTTTACTGATGACTTAACCTAAGCCTGTTATGGCGGTATGTGGCTCTAAGGTTGTGTTGGAACAACTCAAAATGGGGCTATGATTTACCCTGACCCCAATCTTTTGTAAATTTGCGTTTAGCGAAAATTGGAGTGATATTGCCGTAGTTTTCTTTTGGCCGAAAATGATCTACTCATATCCTGGTTAGGATAAAACTGCACCTTCCCAGCTCGGTTTAGCATAAAGCCGGACCCAACTAGTCACGAGCCAACCACATCGTGAGCCTTCAACATACCAACCACATCGTGAGCCTTCAACATAAAAATCCGAGGATTTTGTTGATTTGAGGCTTGTGTCGAGCTGAATATCGTAGCATATCATCTGCGAAGGAGCCCACGTCTTCAATTGCTTGTGCTCACTTCGATTCTTCCTCATCACACATCATCAATCAACTTACGCTTGGCACTTTTTACCGTGGTCCGTCTCCGAGAGTTAAAAATCCGATGCCGGCCCCAAATCGAGTAATAGTTTCCCCTCCCAGCCCAACACACGACAGACGCCCGCAATCTGCTCTCTGCTCCCCATAATAGAAACCAGCCACCCACATTCCCAATCTCAACTCCTCATTAAAAGCCCGCAGGCTCCACCTCCATTGATGAAAAGAGGGAAGGAGACAGCCATGCCCTTACACCAAGAGATATATGCTTGTCCTTATGACATTCATGCAATGCTTATGAGCCCTCCCTCCCCCAGCGCCCTGACCTCTGCTCAGAAAAAGGCCACAGCTCATTAAGGGCCAGCTCCCCCCTGTGGACGTAGGGTACAAGCAGATTACAACCGTCCATTAAAAGTTTGAAGCGGGTGGTTGCGCTAACGCGATATCGGTGATTACACCGATAGAACACTCTAATTGCACCACCCGCGTCCGACTGATTGCACACGTATCGAGTTAATGTATGTCGTATTCTGATTGCGCGTATTTAAAGTTGATAGTGAAACATTTTAACATTAACGGATTCCCTCCTCCTAATTCGGAGGGCCTCTAGAGAACTTAAAAATTGGCGATCTCATTGACATACATACAATTAATCTAATCGAACTGATATTGTATACTGATTGCGCTGATTTTAATAAAAAAAAGATGAAAACCGTATCGAGACGAGCATCGCCATCTCCAGCTCCCTAAGTGATTTTCTACAGAGAGCCTCCTCCAGTACTCTTCTTTCCCAGTTTTGAGGCAAGCAAGGAGGGGGGCCGGGGCTACACATTTGGACCACATTAAACCCTGAGCTTGAGAAGACCAGCCAACTGTTGGTATTGAACGCTAGCATATTGCATTATTATTAGCAGCAGGGTTTATTGAATGAAGTTACCTCGTTCCCCACAGTTTGGTTATTTATGAAGACAAGGATATCTCATTTTGATCACCATCCAATGAAACCCGTGATCAACATGGCCCCCTCTCCTTTGTCATGCCAACCACCTCAGTCTGAATGCCAGCCTTGCTCTCCTTTAATATCGGTCTGCCTCTTGTAGGGATTTTGAAGGATAATAAGGGTAATTGGTATTTTGGTGCATGGCTTTCCTATGCCACACATCAATTTTGTTACATGCATTGGTTAATATGTTCATTATCCATCCATGTCTTATTCGTGCGCGCGCATGTGAAGGAAAATATGCACGCATCTATGGGTAACTAACTAAGAGTAATTTGTGTGTAACTCCCCTCGTCTATACATTCAGTCACACGTACCACTAGACCATTTCAGCAAAGCCCCGCCCAGTTTATAGGGCGTAGTGGTTATCTGCAATGCGTTCTTCTCAAAATTTCAATGCATGGATGCCTGTTAAGTGTTATTAAAAGAGTTGAGCGGTGATAAATGCTACCGAATGATTGATTAATGAAGCATCATATGCAAATTACCGTTTTGTCGTGTAATTAAGCTACTAAGAAACGCACCGTTAATGAGACCTAACTAAGAATTACATCGAATGGGTGTATCTAATCATCCTTTGTCTCTTAACAACTCACGTAATTAATAAACGAGTGAAGCATATGGGATGTGGGATGTAAGCAATCAATTAATCTAGCGAAAAATGGGTTATCAAAATCAAAATGACATAATGTTGTGCCTTGAGAAACCAAAACAATCGCCGAGAAAGATAAAGAACCAACCAAAATCAACAGCACAAACAATCAAACACCAGATTTACGTGGTTCGACGAGATGCCTACGTCCACGGGGCAAGGAGGGGAGAGTTTTCACTATTAGAAATCAAGAGGAACAAACTAGGGTTACAAATCTCTCATAAACCCTCAACAATCAACTCTCAATCTCTCCAACGATTGGTCCGGGTCTTCGTGATTCCGAAGTCCTATCCGCTCACGTAACTCGTCGATTCACTTCGGTCGTTCGTCGACGTCGATTAGGCTCATGTGGATTGGATAGTGACGTTCATCGTCGCTTGTTAATCACTGAACCGGTTTGTGGAGAACTATAGGCAATTTTTGATGCCTACATGGTCCACGGATATCAACGTCCCCGTCACAGGCCAAAGACCCACGCAAGCAAGAGATGACAAACAGCTCTTGCGTTTGTTTGAAAGGAGTTGCATTTATTTTGTTTTCATTGTGTATCGGTCTTATAAAAAGCCTATCCTCGGCGAAGATTCTTCCAAAACTGAGCCGACACCGATCAAACCAATACCTCAACTGTTGCACCCAGTACGCCATGGCAACGGACTCATGACAACAGACTCCAATCACAACATGTCGAGATCCAAAACGGGAGTGCGAACACTCAACCCCAAACCAACTGTGTCTACTCACCAAACAACTGAAGTTTAAAATCCAGGATATCTCGTCAACGGCTTATAATCCCACAGCAAATGGATTAGCTGAAGCCTTCAAGAAGACTATCATCAAACTCTTGTCAAAAATCGTGAAAACTAATAAACGAGACTGGGATGACAAGCTCGGCGCGGCTCTATGGGCCTATCGTACCACGGTGCGTACACCGACCGGCGCAACCCCATATTCATTGGTGTACGGATGTGAAGCCGTTCTCCCTTTGGAAATCCGAGATGTAACAATGGCCGTATCCAAAACATATCCATCAGCTACATCCAAATAAACTACCTCATCATCTGCACCCATAAATAAATGACTCCCACGCTGTGCCACCTCAGCTGGAATCCCAACCAATGCAGAATGACCTGGAGTATGTGAGAAAATCCCCACCCAATGTGGAGTAGCATCAACCTCCACCCGTTGCGATATCCCTCTGACCTGATCAATACTCTCCACCTGCCGAGAGTCCAAAGTGACAAACCTGCTCAGACCAAACTCAGAAGCTCCCCACTGATAGCCGAACGAGCCTCTGAATCCTAAATGCGCAATCGGATCCAATCTCACATCAGCGATGTGACCAAGTGCTGGGTAGCCTAATATCCGACGCCAACCAAAATCTGAAATAGCTCCACCAGATCTAACAACTCTATACGCAACAGTCGGCAACCTTATAAGATGATCCAAACCCGTCGAAGCCTGAATACCAGATCCACTGCTCAACAACCAATACCTATCCTCTGTTGAATATCATTTCTCCATGATAATGTTTTGATGATAATAATCTAAAATTGTGTGTGTGTGCGTGTGTGTGATCAAGGCTTGTAAAAATATTCTAAGTAAAGAAAAATTCAAATACATTATCTTTTGTTCTTCATTTTCTTCAAAATGCCTTGATATCCACTTGCACTTGTACATATTCTGATATTAAAATCTGCATATGAAAGTTAGTGCACACACAATATAGATTGTTATCATCAAAACATTATCATGGAGAAATGATATTCAACATTCTCCCCCTTTTTGTTAATAACAAAGGGGGAGAAATAGTTAAGTTTTGTGTTTTTTTATTATGTATGTTAAAAACTTTGCATATATGCAGGGGGAGTAAGTATTATATGTTTTAAGTTTTAATATGATGCATAAATTATTTGTTATCATCAAAAATGGAGAGAATGTTAAATATCATTTCTCCATGATAATGTTTTGATGATAACAATCTATATTGTGTGTGCACTAACTTTCATATGCAGATTTCAATATCAGAATATGTACAAGTACAAGTGGATATCAAGGCATTTTGAAGAAAATGAAGAACAAAAGATAATGTATTTGAATTTTTCTTTACTTAGAATATTTGTACAAGCCTTGATCACACACACGCACACACACACAATTTTAGAACACACTAACACAGGCTTAGTGTGTTGGTTAACTATAGAAATCCCCTATGTTAACCATTAGAATAGTAGTTAAAACTTAATTATAAAAACTCATTATTTCTGAATTTTTGATCTTAATAGTCGACTAATTAGGATAGTAGTCGACTACTCATGTAAAAAACTCAAATACATAATTCTGTCAATTTACAGTATAGTCGACTAATAGTGATTATAGTCGACTACTTAAGTGTTTGACAGAAACATAAGTTTCTGTGTTTTTACAGTATAGTCGACTAATGTCAACAGTAGTCGACTACTGAACTCAAATTTCATTTTATCAGTTTCTGTCAAAATACAGTGTAGTCGACTAATGGACTTTGTAGTCGACTACTGAGAAAATTTTCAGAAAACCAGAGTCTGTTTGAACTTAATGTAGTCGACTAATGTCAACAGTAGTCGACTACAGATACAGTTTTTCTAGTTTTCAAAGTTTGAATATCTGACAGTTTATAGCCGTTTTTAAACGTTTTTAAAGTTTAAAAAATTGTATTTTCAAGGGCTATATATAAGTTATTTGTTCAGAAAAATAAAAGAGATTTACATACCCATAAGCTTTGATTTTTGTGCAATTATTCAAGTGAAAAATATTCAGATTTTGTGA